AAGGCAACTCTGAAGCACTCTCAAAAAGGCATACCGCTAAAAATACAATTGCCAACACTAAACACTTTAAACATTGAGACCCATAATAACTATCACCTAATCAATGATAATACAAATTACAAAAAGCCACTAACAACACGAGCCAGAAGAACCAAAGACTAAACGCCTCTGAAAAGAGGCAATCAATCAGAATATGTTTGTTGTCAGAACTGTCGTTCGGCGTTCCAAAACAACAGACCCGTAACTTATACATGTTGTCAAGTTCTTCAAAGGCCAGTGACGTTATCGCCAGCAACATCCTGTCATCAACATAAGTTCTGGTTAAACTTTACAATAAGAGTATTTCTGCCTTAACTGTTTGAATATAGAACTCCATTATCTCTAAATCAATGAATGCAAGCATATGGCCCCTCTTTAGAACTGTGTTTTAGAAATTCATATAATGAAGCTGCTGACGTTGACAAATCACGCATATTTATTGTTAATTGATTGTTTGATTGACATATTACTGTATATTTTAACTTCCTTATTCAGTTGCGTTGACTATTAAACTACACATATAACATACTAATAATGTGGTATCGACAACTAACATTGTATATTTTTGCCGTCAGTGAATCGCCACATTATTATTGCTATTCTTCAGTGTATATTATCCTGTTTGAAAAGACGTGCAACAGCTGATGCTGTTTACATCACGTGTGATTCCGTATCTACTGCCAATAATGGTCTTACAGCTACAGTACTTCCTACTTTCATCCCGCAGACAAGTGAACGTGACTATGCTGGTATGCAAATCCATTTATTGGCTCACTCAACAATCTAAAGTTGGAGTATGTGCGATTGAGCCAATCAATGCACAGTATATATCACGTGATCTTGACCATCAATCGAGATGTCGTTGTAAGAGAAGATGACGAGCGGGTGAATTTTGCCGCTTATATTTATTTGAACAATGTCTGCGTGAGGCAACGCATTACATTCCACATATATAAGTTAGTCAAACAGTAAATGCAAAAAATGGACAATGATGTCAACGAGCGTTCCATCTAGATAAACGACGATCAAGTGATTACATCATAGATTGCTTAATAACTACTTTTATACTTTTAAGCAAACGCCAAACTTATATCTTAGCAGTATTCTCAGTTGTCGTATTCATTTGGAAATTGATTATCTTTGATCTGTCAATTCGGCTTTGCCAGCTCAGCACATTTGAACTGGTCTCTTTAATTCTTTGTTTAGCGCAACAGCTGATACGTCTGCATCTGTGTTACATCAAGACACCATTGCGGGGTGACGTCTCGTGTTCAATTCTCGTCGGCTGCACACATGGCTGGAAAGGAACATTAAAATTTACATCAGTGTATATCGTAAATCCATTTTTTTATGCTGCGCAGCTTCACTTTACTTCATTCTAACTGCTTATCAATTGATCTGAAACTGCAGTCATGAAACTGTGTCATAAACCAAGCAACACAACTATCAAAGGAATTATATCTGCCTTTCAAGGAGGTATTATAAACATTGATTTTATCAGCCATATACATTAATAATCATGTATTATGATTGAATAATCGTTGCTTAGATTTTCCAACTGGTCTGAGAAGCATGTTCAATCAGCAACCATTCTGTGAAACAGGGACCACCGCAGTGGCCCGATGAATCAGCAACTAGTTTGTGAAACAGGGACCACCGACATGGCATGTGGAATCAGCAACTAGTCTGTGAAACAGGGACCACCGACATGGCATGTGGAATCAGCAACTAGTCTGTGAAACAGGGACCACCGACCTGACATGCGGAATCAGCAACTAGTATGTGAAACAGGGACCACCGATATGCCTTATGGCATGTGGAATCAGCAACTAATCTGTGAAACAGGGACCACCCACGTGAATCAGCAACATGAACAGGGAATCAAGCAACTAGTCTGTGAAACAGGGACCACCGACATGGCATGTGGAATCAGCAACTAATCTGTGAAAAAGGGACCACCCACGTGTCATGTTGAATCAGCAACTAGTCTGTGAAACAGGGACCACCCACGTGTCATGTGGAATCAGCAACTAATCTGTGAAACAGGGACCACCCACGTGTCATGTGGAATCAGCAACTAATCTGTGAAACAGGGATCGACCTCGTGGCATGTTGAATCAGCAACTAGTCTGTGAAACAGGGACCATCAACGTGTCATGTGGAATCAGCAACTAGCCTGTGAAACAGGGACCACAGACCTCGCATGTGGAATCAGCAACTAGTCTGTGAAACAGGGACCACCCAAGTGGCATGTCGAATCAGCAACTAGTCTCTGAAACAGGGACCACCCACGTGGCATATGGAATTAGCAACTAATCCGAGAAAGAGGAACAGCGCACCTGGCATGTGGAATCAGCAACTAGTCTGTGAAACAGGAACCATCCCAGTGGCCTGATGAATCAGCAACTAATTAATCTGTGAAACCTGGACCACCCACGTGGCCCGTCGACTCAGCAACTGATCAGTGAAACAGAGACACCTTGCAAGTTGGAGGATTAGTGGCCACAACTCACTAATCAGCTGGTTGGCAAGTGTTCACTTACAGACTTAAGATATGGCACAATATGCATTCAGTTATTTTGATTAGTTATAACATCACTCTAAATGAACTTTGTTATCTGGACATATATATATAATGTGCATTTGTGGCTCACCTTGGCAAACATCAAGCTTTACTTGAAATTATAATGTTTGATGGGCACTTAGAAAAGTTGGATGAGGGGGTAAGAAGTAGCCGCAAAACGTCGTGTTGTAAATAATACAGAAGTTGTAAATCCATACCATACGTTGTTGTGGTATTTAGGTAGTAGACTTGGTATCAAGACGAGGAGAGCAACTTCTATCCACTGGAAGTGTGTTCAGAAGGATGGTTGTGCTACAGTCAACACCAAAAAGTCGTCTGTTCTGCAACTCTGAGCTGGTTCCAGGCCACCACCAAAAATGAGACGGTACATGGAAGTGGACAACAGACTTGGCACCTTCAAGGCCAGAGTTCAAGCTGGTAATCTGACTGCGATTGACTACACAGATGGTGTATCTCGTTTTAATGTCTACTAAATACTATGTAAAATATCATGCAAAATATCACTTGTAGATAAATGTGTTCTATATATATTATGTCAATCAAGACCAAATAACACAGTAACCAATATAACACAGTGTCTAATTTGCGCTGGGACAAGAGTGCATGTGACCACAGGAAACAAATAAAAAGCGTACCTTTTGTTCTTGGGGATTACGTCGTTCCACCTGATCTAGAACTCCTGAACAAAAGCTGCTGGGTGAACGAGAACAACCCATAGAATTACAACACCACAACACTCTTGGCGAAACAGTTCTATTGTTTGGAAGGGAAATCAAAGACGGTCTGAATAGCAGTTAAAATCTAGAAAGCTTGCATTGGTATTCCCTTGTGTTGCCACATGTTCCTTGTCTGCACTCCAAAACAACCAAACAACAGCGCCATTTCGATAGCTTAAGCCGATCTCAAAACACATATATTCACAACAATAACAGTTGGCGTGATAGAGGCATCACCATAAGGCAAAATGATATTGTATCCAATGGATGTACGGCTGTTAGACTGCCCGTCACTGATCACCTTAATATATGTCAGAAAGTTTTCTGCACGTTCACATATCCATGAGGAAAAGGCAAGCTCAACGTTGTCTGGTATTTGTCCAAGTACATTCGCAAAGAAGCACAATTTGATCAAGATGTTCGAGAATGTATTTTCTCCAAAATTGGTGCCTCTTCTCTTGCAGAGGACTGGTCAGCAAGGTCAGCGACGTCATTAAGTATATCCTAAAACGACTGAATAGGATCTTCAGTGTCTCTAAAAAAGCGACGCTTTAAGTGTTAAACTCAAGGATGCACATCAGTGCTTTTCTCAGGCGAATCTAGCGCAAACAGCAGTATTTGTTTACCAAATTAAATATCAAACTGGTTCTGTTCATAACAAGAAATTGGATACATACTGGCATAATCATATATAATAATGAATAACTTCAAACCATTCACTTAATTAATTGTTACAATTGTGTAAGTGGGAAAATATCATGTACACAGGGTTTTGCATGACCAGCCGATTGATAAAACCGGACCGAATTTATCACCCGTCTGGTGAAGTCAGGGTCGATTTGGTGTGTTGGGCAAAAGGAACACTGTTTCTGGCTTCTCTTCCCTCACCCACCAGAATCCCTCCCTCCACCAACACAGGGTGGGAACCCACGGGAAACAGATTCCCAATTTGGTCGCCTATTACGACCATCAGTGGGATGCTGAGGTCCTTTTCTAACTAGGTTCACACTTGGGAAGACCTGTTAGTGTTACTCATAATTCACCACTAGGAGACAGAGATATCCCAGAGACATCCATAGGACTAAATTGAGCGAGTGAGGTTTATTTATATTACGTCGGCAGTGTTTCAGCTGCGTTGTGGCGTGATCAAGTTATCGAGGGACAGAATAACACCTAAAAGTATATCACAGATTGTAGAACATTATGGCTGCCCGACTATTTTGCAATGATACCATTTACAAACTGACAACAGATCGCCAGCATGTGAAGATCACCATTCTGGAGACTATAGGTATTGATGTATTCAATATTGGTAAGACTTACATCCCTTCTGTATAGGTAATGTCATTACTGTGCTATTAACATGCAAAATATATGATATCAAAATCTCATACATATTTCAGTTGTTGGTATAGAATTAGGACACCGCAACACTCTCGGAGAATCAGTTCTATTGTTTGGAAGGGAAATCAAAGATGTCCTGAATAGCAGTTAAAATCTAGAAATCATGCATTGGTATTCCCTTGTGTTGCCACGTGCTCCTTGTCTGCGCTCCAAAACAACCAAACAACAGCGCCATTTCGATAGCTTAAGGCGATCTCAAAACACGTATAGTCACAACAATAACAGTGGGCGTGATAGAGGCATCACCATGAGGCAAAATGATATTGTATCCAATGGATGTACGGCTGTTAGACTGCCCGTCACTGATCACCTTCATATAAATCAGAAAGATTTCTGCACATATCCACGAGGAATAGGCAAGCTCACTGTTGTCTGGTATTTGTCCAAGTACTTTCTTGAAGAAGCGCAATTAGCCATGAGATACTTCCTTCTAGCCGTGGTGGTCTTCGTGGTACTGGTTGACCAAGCCGTGTGTCTAGATTGCCAGCCATGCAATGCTGTTACATGTGGAAAGCCGCATGGATGCCGACGAAGAAACTACGTGAAAGACGATTGCGGCTGCTGTAATGTATGTGGCACTAAATTCGGGCAGCCTTGTTCTGCATTGACACCAAGGTAAGTCCTTGGAATGATTTACTGATATACTTTATCAAGTGTAGAAGAACAATTATCATGTATTACCATTGCCTTGACTAATTTTACAGGATCACCACTCCAGGATACTGGTAGAAATATTACATCACCTATGTATTATTTAGAAATATTCGGTGTTTTTGTTTGTTTGTTTGATTGTGTGTGTGTGTGTGTGTGTGTGTGTGTGTGTGTGTGTGTGTGTGTGTGTGTGTGAATCCCATCTGCAGTATTTCAGCAATATCGAGACTATCAAAACTATATATAATTAAACACACACCTAGTCTACATATAAATATATGCTAACGAAAGACAGTAAATCAAATATCTAACCTATCACAGATTTATACTGAAGACCAGCATGTAATAAGGTGTTACTATGCACTTGTTATTATGGTTGATAATACGTTATAGATAATAAAGATGTCATAAAGTGGAAGTCATCTGTGGTGCAGTTGATCGAATTTTGTTCATACTAATGAATAAATATGATGAAATGTCTTTCACGATTCCATACATTTGAAACCGTACATATACAACAATAGTTCATGCTTCCTTGTGGTTGTTATTTGTGACATGCTACCAGTGCTTTCATGTATCAAGCCATCATAATTTTCAGGTGCGCAAGGAAAATGTGGTGTATCAAGATAGTTGGGAATTCCGCTGAGGCCAAGAGAGCCTTCGGTCCGCAGGATCCTTTCACCGGCGTATGTGGAAGAATTAAAGTCCCCAGCCAGCCTGGAGATGATATTAAAGTAAGTCCTCAAATCGAATACCTTTACCTTTCTTTAGCTATTACCAACAATATCAAGACAATATTATTCTTCCTACTTTCGTCAAGTGAAACCATCAACAAGGGAATTATCTGCCGAAAATATTCCTTCGTAAAAGGCAAAAGTGAGGAAAATTATATGAATTGGTAATAGAAGTGATACTAGAATCTCTTTGAGAAAATATAAGTATTTCTGCCCCAAACAGTCGTATCCTCCACTGACAATTTTCACGAATGTGTTTATGTGTTGCTTAACACGCATCACAGAAGTACTCTTTTACTTACAATCCCTTGACACCCGTTGAGCGTCACTTGATTATGTTGAAACAAGATCAAGGAGTTAATTTCGAATTACGTCTGTTGAATACAGTGGGTATAGGGGAGGAAGTTTCAACTATATCGATCCAAATAATTGTGTGACCTCTGAAATAGAATTGATGTGGGTTGTTGTTTAACATCGAAGTAAGTAAAGTAACAGCTGCACACAAGCTGAACCAAACACTGCAGTGATTGACATGTCCATCGATGTAGACAGTCGAGATATGATGACGTGCTTTAACCAAGTCAGCGAGTCTGACCATCCGATGCCATTAGTCGCCTCTTATGGCAAGCAAATGAAGCTATGAAGCTGAGACAAGTTGTGAAATACTTTGTTGAATTGTTTTCAGGTTCCATAACCGCCAACCACGTCCGCCCCGCAACTCACGCAAACCATTGTCGACATTGCTGACGCGATTTAAAGTAAACAATATACTTTGTCATATATATTGCAAATTGAACAAAGATAAACTCTTTCTGAAACTTTGAAGACTATGTTTTGTCTTTCTTTCTATTACCACAGATTCATGTTTACATACTCACATTTTCTCGCCTTGGTCTGTTGGTCTTACATGATAATTCTTAGCGTCGACGCCACTTACGAGAAGCATGGGTTGCTGAAGATGAATTCTAACCCGGATCTTTACGGGGCATGTCATTCATACATACAAATATTTGTATAGTGCTAGTTTCTGGCATGTGCCACTCAAATGCGCTTGAGGTGAGTCTGGAAAGACAAATGCGTTTGTCATAACAAGGTAAATATCGCACATCATGTTGATAAGAGAGGTATTTAGATATCCCAAGGAATGAAAGACTTTGTAAAGTTTGTAACTTTTGACTTCTGGAGACAGAATATCATTTTCTGCCGACTTTTGAAGCCTATTTTCATTTCCGCCAGAGATATATCCCTTTGAAGTATTTTGAATTTCCAACACTGGCTAATTTCAATATACTGATGTCTTCTCTACAAATATCTGTCATTAGAAACCTAGTTTATCTTACATGCCTCAAATCTCCGCCTTTAGTCACTTGCATGGGAATATTTGTAAAATTATGTAACACTGTATATGGACCATGTTGTACATAGGGATGATGGCCCTTTCCATTGTACCGAAATAAAGAATAAAATGGTTGAAAACGGTATAAAGACGTTCGCAAATTAAATGATCGAAAAATCGATTTATTAAAAAAGGTGTTTGACAGTCATATGGCTGTGGAAAGGAACAGATTGAGGGGGATCTCCTCCCTTCAAGTGAATGAGTAATAACTTACAGTCACATCATCCAGATCACCATACTAGAGACCATGAGAACTTACGGTACCTAATCATTAATTTTGAATAAAAGCAAATCATGGAATCACACCGCTACATAGACAGTACCTCATGGAATCACCTTGCTACTCAGGCAGTACCTCATGGAATCACATCGCTACACAGACAGTACATTATGGAACCACATTTCTACACAGACAGTACCTCATGGAATTACACCGCTACATAGACAGTACCTCATGGATTCACACCGCTACATAGACAGTACCTCATGGAATCACACTGCTACACAGACGGTACCTCATGGAATCACACCGCTACAGAGACAGTACCTCATGGAATCACACCGGTACATAGACAGTACATCATGGAATCACAACGCTAATCACAAAAAAAAAGCTCGCGCCTGTGAAATATCAGCAAAACATTAGAAAAATAGCTCACATCAAAGCCTTCACCGAGTACTCACTGCCAGTGAAGGTTTTCCGTCTTGAAATGTCGAACGTCTCACTGGTTGACACATAGCTGAGTAAATCTAGATCCTAACAAGGTTCTTTTATGTAATGAGTAGATAATTTACTATTTGTTTTTATTAGACTATTCCTGCTCAAAACCTTATAATCCGGACAACCCGCTTCCAAGCTGAGCGAACCTATTTCACTGCGCATGTGCTATGAGCGCAGCCCAGCCCAGCTGTGGGAACCACTTTTTCCCCCAAGCCCTGGGGGAAAATTAGTGAATCGTTTTAACTCCGATTTCGCGCGGTTTTTGTCATCGCGTTATTTTTCAACTTTATAAGTTGAATTTGCATTTTTGATAATTTGTTTCGGTAAGTCAATACCGAAAGGTATCAGAATCTGCAAAATTGTGTTTTACGTTACATGTGACCTTGAAGAAAGAGGACAAAGATAAGACACAATTTAGACAGCAGCTTTAAGACTTCTTTCAGTGATTCTGAATTCTGATATACATTACATTGAATTGTTTGTGAAAGAATTGGTGTAGAAACACAACTTCCCAAAGGAAACTTCAGTTTCAAATTTATTTTGAGGCGTGCTGAACATGTTGACTGTACCTTTTTCAACATGAACTTTTATTACATCAACAGCTCTTTAAGTGTGTGTGTGAATGTAACACAGTTTTTAATGAATTTATAACTATTTTAAGTCACGATATGGCTGAAATACTGCCACTCTGACTATAAACTTTAACTCACTCTCTCACTCATGATATGTCGTCTCGCCTCATTAAATTGGTATCAGGATATATCGTCTCTCCACTTAGGCTACGAAACACAGCTCTAATACCAAGTATGTGCATTTTTACACATTTACAACAGTTATTTTCATCGGGAATCATTAATACATTGTAATCATCTTTTTCGAAAGCATTATTAATGAAATTTGTGCAGCTATGATCATGAGTATGATAACTCATACAAGTCAGTTATTTAAATATAATGCAATTTCCATTACAAGAAGTATAAACGGTATTACCTACTGATCAGAAAGGCTTATCAGTTCCCCACCGCCGACACCCCATCCCAGGCCTACCCCATCCCACACCCTGTCCCTCTCACACACATGCACACACACACACTCCCTAACATACATATCGCTCTGACCCATAGACCCAATATTTGAACTTTTTAAATAGACATCATGTGTATGTCAAGAAAGGCAGGCACGTTAATAGTGGTGCTCAGTCGTGTGGTGCTTCGCCATGTGTTTCTAATGATCTCCGTGCATTATGGCGTGGTCCGACGCGCTAACGAACCCGATGTGACAGTTACATTACAGAACCATTGAAATACATGTGAAAGTAGTGTTAATCTTGTAACACTATATTTACCCATTACCAACAATTTATGCGTGTACTAAATATATGACAAACGTAACCCTGGTCATACGAGATTTCAAAGGTATTATAAAGGCATGTCCTACAATCACAGCATTTACATATGTTACACATGCCAGAAAACACGTGAAAACAATGGCCAGATTTACACACCTGTGAAATAAATATAAATACAGAGTTGAGTGTTCGTTTATTTTAACACCCCTTTAAACGAGTGTAAATCTGACAGCCAGATGATACGTAGATTTAAAACATTGTTTATATGGCCGCCGGATGAAACGTATCCCAGCAGGCACATCAACGTTGTTTCAACGTTGAGAATAGGTTGGTCCTCAACGTTGAAATTAGATTGAAAATAGGTTGTATATGAAAGTTTTTTAGACGTAGATGTCCGACGTGGAATCAACGTTGAAGTTTGACCTATTATCAACGTTGGAAAAAGGTTGTATATGAAAGGTTTTTAGACGTGGAATCAACGTTGAAGTTTGACCTATTATCAACGTTGAAAAAAGGTTGTATATGAAAGTTTTTTAGACGTAGATATCCGACGTGGAATCAACGTTGACGTTTGACATATTATTAACGTTGAAAATGGGTTGTTCCGTGGTTATATATGAAAGTTTTTTAGACGTAGATATCCGAAGTGGAATCAACGTTGAAGTTTGACATATTATTAACGTTGAAAATGGGTTGTTCCGTGGTTGTGTCTGGGAGGTATTACGCTTTCCTGTAAATAGACTCGCACTCCATCTTTAAACTACACTAAAGTAGCACCAAACTCATGCATCCAGCTAAAATACCCAAAAAGCTACCTGCAATAAACAGTGTTCAAACATAAAATTGCAGTAAAAATATTTACCTGATAAAATACTTGGTTAAAATTCCACATTCAATATAATGTTCATTTAAGTTTTATGTCAGTTGGACGTATAATTCCAGTAAGAAGAAAAGAGTATTCCAAATTAAGAAAAACTATTTACTGTTGTATTGTTATCTTGAAAAGGTGGAAATTGTCCCGAGAAGACATTTTGTCTGAATTTCAGCTATTAGACAGACCCCTGAATAAACACAATGCAATTACTTTCACCATGAAAGGGATCCAAGATGAACACGAACTATACCTGAAGACAGCACATAAAACCAGTCACTTTTTTATGAAATCTTTATGAACACAAACGCACACAGAGAAACGTGGTTTAAAGCATAATGTAAAACATCACACATGACATAGTCTGTAGGTGATCTCTGTTGTGATAATAACACAATATCATCTGCTTATAGCATTAAACTGACATACAGCTTCTCTTCTTTCTGCCACTCCCTGCCTGGCGGTCAGGTGGATACTTCAGAAACGTTCCTAACTCTTTCTTGAAATTTGCTTCGGATGCATTCCCATCTCATTCCCATGAGATAGGACACATTCTGAAATTTTATATTTAACTACATGAATAATTTTACATGGAAGATATATTGTCTTAAATGATTCAAGTATCTGTTTAATCAATCACTTGAAAGGTTCATTTCACTGCTGTAACTTGCCATGTGAACATATGAACAGCATCAATACAAAATGTGACGAAAAATGTAAACAATGTTATATTTTCAACTGAAGGAATGGAAGTTTTCTTAAACATTTTCAAAGAAAATCTTCAATTGCAAGTTGATTATTCAATTAGACTATGAATTAGGATGAATGAGACGATGCTTTATTGTCATATATTATTTGCTATGGTCGATGAAAATGCTGTATTTGGTAATTAAATTACCAGAGATGATTGAATACAACCTTGTATTCTTAAAAGAAAACTTGCCGCTTTGCCCATCAACATTCATTCTTGACATCAAATTGTTTGACATTGTCCTGCAAAACAATGGAAGATTGTTGTTATTCTGTCAGATTTAGTTTTCTTTAGAGATTCTCGGAAACGATTATTTCAAATTAAATAGGAGTTGTACTGATGTAGCAATTTTGCTAACAGGAGTCATAAATTGTAACAAAAGCCATTTTACATTAAATGATAAGAAAACAAAATGGGTGGTGGTTCACAGGTCAAAGAACAAGTCTATTGTGGGAGGTCTTCCAACACGATTTATTCCCAAACACAAGGAAGTATGGATCATGGAGTTCTGAAAACAATAATGAGCTCTCATAAGTATACAATATATTCCCTATTTTCTACTCTGTCTCTCTTTGTCATTTGTACACTCATAAAACTCAGATAAATAACTTCTTCATAATTCAGAAATGTTTACACTTAATCTCTTATAGGAACGCTTAGA